TTCATCTGGTGTTAAAGCCAAGATCAGCAGCAGTGTGTGCGACGTGACCGCACTGTCACCAGAGAGTTCTCCTCCTGGTTCACATTCAGCAGTGTGCCTGTGACGTACACCGGCCGACTTCTCGGGTGCCGCAGGACAAACCAATCTGATTTAAAATATATATATACATGTACGTGTGTGTGTATGGTATAGGTATATTAATAGACAGAACTTCTTCATTTTTCTCTGTAATAAAGAACCATGAAAATGCATGCATTTAGATATGATTTCTGGCTGTAATAAGGTAACCATTTCTTCCCTGCAAGCAAATTTGCAACAAAAGACAGAAGATGGCTATGTTTATATGGAGAATTTTTTTGTATATTTTTAATCTATGCGTGTGTATATATAACCTATATTTATAATATGTAAACGTGTCTAATATGTAAAACCATCTGTAGTTATCATCAGTATTTAAGAAAAAAAAAGAAACATTGTTTATTTCTCCTATGGTGACCCTCTTGGGAAATAAATTTTTAAATAATTGAGAGCTAGAGGAACAGCTGTCTTAGGATGTTTTCATATTCCTGTGCTGTGGTGGCACTTCTGCGTGTTTAGGCCTTGTCTGCGCCACTGCGGTGATGGTGTGCAGGGCAGGAGCGTCGCACCACCTCCTGCCGGGCCGCTCCTGCTTGTGTCGGCCGTCCAAAAATGAACAGCGGCCCGAAGAACCCCCGGGAGGTGGTTTGCCTTCGAGGGCAGAGCATTGTTCCCTGGAGTTTCCTTCAGAAACCGTATTTAAATGAGGGGAGAGTTATTAAATAAACAAACACTGTTTGTTAATGTTATTTGTGTGACAAATGGAGTGAAACGTAGAAGGGAAACTCCTCCGTATGACTCTTAGCTTGACTTAGCTTGGAAAGCAATGGTAAAAGTACTGGTAGGAGGGTCTGTAGTCACATTGCGTTGATTTACATACAAATATACCCTGATTGCAATTAGGAAGATGGTGCTTCTGTGTGCTGAGAAACTCAGTCGAGATGTGTCACCAGCTGTGCAAGGTGCGGAGATTCCTTCGAAGGCTGCGACCTAAATCGTTGCTGTTCCTTCTCGTGTGTCCATCCTGCTAAGAGATATTAGAAGCCAGATTTCTTGTCATTTTGACTTTGCATTTGTTTGCCGAAGCTGTGGACGCCCTTCTTGAGCTCCACTCGTGTGGGTGTACGCTTTGGCGGGACGTTGCCGCTTCCCTTTGCGCGTTGCCTTTCCCCGGTCTGCCGCCCGGCTCCCTGCCTGAGCGATCTCAGAGGATCCCCACCGCAATCTGTCAGTGGGACCTCAGCGAGGCCGGCAGCCAGTAGCTCAGAGATTGTCGGGGCTTGCAGGGGTAATGCTGAGTAGTTCCGTGACAGTGAGAAGAAGTGTCTTCGTCAGGGCTCAGCAGGGTTTGTTAGAGCTCACGGGTTACTCACCACACAATTACCATTCTGTAAGGCACACGGGGAAGAGGAGATGCCTGGCCACCCTTGTGCTGCAGAGCCCACCCAACTAAGAAGGGAAATGTGGTGGTTATTAAAGTGGACAGACGTTTTCAGTATATACAGAGCGGCCAAGGAAAGATGCCATCGTCGTTTTCAGAGCAGAACCTTGCACTCTAAAACAACCGAGGCAAATTAGAAAAGTTTTTGAAACCCTGTCACCTTATTTTCAGCCCTGCAGAAATAGGAGCAGTCACTCAGCTCTGAGCTGCAGAGTAAAATCTTCGTATGGATGAAGTCCACAAGACATGCCCCATACCTTCAGAAGCTGAAAGAGACCTTCCAGCAGTTACCTCATGAGCGGTGGCAGCGGGTCTGCAGGATGGGCTCCAGCGGCTGTGTCAGACAGGCAGGACCCTTAGGATTCAGGCTGCCTCCCGGCTCCCCGCTGCAGCTGTATCTGCAGCCTGGCAGGCACCCACCGCCTGCTCGCCAGCCCCAGGTGTCCCCGAGAGCCAGGCACCAGCCAGCCAGAGACCACGTGCGAGGACAGAGGTCAGAGCTGGCAATTTGACTGGATTTGTTGAATGTTTAGGGTGATACCACGTTCTTCGAATGTCTTCAGGACACTGGGGTTTTTTCTCAAAATTTAGTTCTACTTCTTTAATTCTTCTTACTTAATTCTACTATTTAATTCTTACTATTCTAGTATTGAATTCTTACTGCACCTCCCCGTACACATCTCCCTCTCAGTTATCTGGGAAAACCTCTCCTGCTTGCTTTTTTCCCAGTAGCTGTGAAAGACTCCATGAAGCGGCTTCTCCCCGATTGCTGCTGCCAGCCACAAGCAGGTTTCCGTATGAACACACAACACCTGATGACCAGAGAGTGGCAGGGTTGCAGGATGGACCAGTGCTTACTGTTCAGTAATTTCTTTTTCCCCATTTGTTCTCTCTCACATCTGCTGCTAAATGCTATTCTGAAACCCTCAGTCTTGTCCTGGATTTAAATGGAAAGCAAGATTAAGTTTTTCAAGTTCTCAAGAAAAAGCTGACCATACAGACTTGTACTACATCTTTGAACAAGGACAAATTGCCAGGTTTTGAAGGCTGGACTTGTCAGACTTATTTTTCTAGTACATAATTTTGCAGGCAGAATTTCAGTTTAGAATAATTCAGTAAGATCTGAAAAGCAGCCTTTATATTTCTATTTATTGTCTTCTGCTGATGGTAAAGTGTTTCTTTGCTGTGCGTTCTTTCCTGCAGAATTTCATTCCAATGTGTTGCCTTACAGAGATAAATAAAATTCTGGGTAATAAAATTGTTGAGCAAATGGTAGAGCCTTTTTCCACAAAAGCTTCCTGTGATTAATGAAAATATTCTGGCACTGACCTCTGCGCTGGCTTCCAGCCACCTGCCAGCAGAGTCAATGGCACGCAGCGTACGAGCCACGAGCGCTCGCGATGAGGAAAGGACGCAGTAGATGGCCACTTCAGGCTTTAATCTGGGAGAAGGATCCACAGCGGTGCTTGCTGCTGACGTGCTGTCTCTGGGCTCGGCGCGGGTGAGGACCCTGTGCGGACGCGGCGTTGGCTCAGGGCGTTGCTGGGCGTCAGCGTGCGAACACGGGCGCAGCCCTTCTGCCGAGGCAGCTGGCGCTTGTGGGTGGGAACTTTTCAGCAGCTATAAACGGGAGGTCTATTTGTTTTGTCTAAAGTGCATGGGAAAGGCTTGATCATAATGTTAGAAATTCAAGGCTAATGGTTTAAATGAAAAAAAACATCCTTCCGTTTCAAAGTTCAGCTGCAAACGTCACGGCGTGGCTGCGGGGAGGGAGGCGGGCAGGCGAGCGCGGCGGGAAGGCCCACGCCTTCATCCATCTCCCCAGTTGGGGGGGGAGAAAAAAGCAATTCAGGTTTCAGCATTTTTGTAATCCCTCTGAGCCTCCCACTAAATTTGCCCCAGTGTGTGGGAAAAGATTAAAGATCCTTTGGGCTCCACGCGCGGTGTCCAGCAGTCGGGGGCGGCAGCGTGGTCTGTGCTAAGGCAGCAGCTGGGGCGCGCAGCCTGCCGCGGCACCCGGAGCACCAGCGTCCTGTGACAAGTGCCACGACCTGCTGACAGCTGAGAGCTCCCGTTGGTGACACATGCCACAGTGGTGTACGGCCGTCATTCTAAATATTCTGTGTGCGACAGACTTCGTCGGTAATTTCAGAGATAATCGGAGCTGGTCAGATGCTGTGACTGGCTTAGAGCAGAGTGCCGGCAAGGGGAACTCCTGTTCCTTTAAGAACGGCTCATAAATGCTCCCTTGTAATAAATATTTCAAGATTAATATCAGTGTATTACAAGTTTCAGACGAGGCTGTTTATCAAGATGAAATAGTTCATTTCCTAAAAGGCAATATTATTTACATTTTGTGTGGGCATGGATGAGAAGTCTTTATTTAAGAGCTTCCAGGATTTTTTCCCCTCAAAAATGGTAAATGAAAAATGCTGAAAAATTCCTTTCCCTAATTTTTTACTACTTTGAGAGCCTGTCTTGCTGTCAGGATTAGTTTGTGCAGTATTAATTTCTGCTAAATATATTGTGCTTAGTGTAATTAAGCATCCAGCCTTTTTTGTCCTAATTCCATCATTAAATGTATAAACTTTTTTATTGTGAAAAGGACACAGAGCTACTGTGAACCCAGGCCTTGGGGAGAAAGTAGAAAGGGCGTAACAGATACTAAAAACCGGACTCAAAAATCCATACTTTTAAAATAAACATTGTCTTCTCCTGCTTACGTTACCCTGCTTGCATGAAACTTCTTCCTTCCGCATCTCAGCCGTGGAGCGAGGAGCTGTGTGCCGAACGCCGTCTCGCTGCGGCTTACCGATGCTCCATGCAGGCTAGAAAGTACTGAGCAACGAGAGGAATCAAAGCATCAGTGTTTCTGTTTTGTCATTTTTTATTTCCTCACGGCACCAGAAAGCACAGACATGTGAGGTGTGGACACCGTCTCACGAGCAGAGGTCGGTTCCGGCGGGTGTGAAATGTTACTGCTGAACTCTGTCACTGTTCACACCGTTTGTAGTCGAGTTAAATGAGGAACCGGAAAGCGATACCACACCGTGCAATTTATTGTCTAGGCTCTTCACCCAAAAAGCGTAGTAACAAGCATCTGCTGACTGTATCCATCTTTTTATTTTTCATTATATTAATCTCTTGATTTTTCTAAACACACAGCCTGTTTGCTTTTCCTCCGTAGTAACTTCTGGCGTTAGCTTTTAATACAAGTATTTGAACAGTATTCCTCAATGTCATCGTTTCAAGATTTTATATATGCAGATACTTTACGTATCGGTTATTTTTCTTAAGGTCTAGGCTGATAACAGTATTATTTACAGAAAAATGCTAACAGAAAGAAGAACATCATTATGAAAAAAGCTTAATATATGGGCTACTCAGTTCTTCGGTTTTTTAATCTCTCTTGTGAAGCTGAAGTTACAACATGTCTACTTTCCGGTGTCGGCTGCTCTCTGATATTTTGGTTTGATTTCAGGTTACTATCGGCCAGCTGTATTCCACGCAGAAACTGGTTATTGAGAGTCCAGGAAACACATAGCTCTGAGAAGACTCTGCTCCTGGAGCAACACTGGACCATCCTCAGCATCCCACAGTGCCACATGCAGACGCGTAAACTCACTGCACGTGCCTGAGCTTTTCTGTTCAGCAGAAGAAATGCCCGAGGGACTCAGTTTTTGGCAACCAAAGTACTATTTTCTAATGTTTCAAATGTCTAAAATATATTGCTGTGATTTATAATAGCATGTAAGGTAGTTTGAAATCTGTTCGCTTGAATGTCCCATGTGGTGGAATAGCTCCTGCCCTACTTTGACAATAAAACTTCATTAAACTACGTGTAACCAGGTACATTATTCTGCTGCTGGCCTTGCCTCTCACGGATCACGAACGATGTGTTAGGTTTAAAACTCCTTACCCAGTTACTAAGTTCTTATTGTTCCTGTTTCATTGAAAAATATACAGCATCTGAATGAAGTGACTGAATACATAGTTCATTTTAAGTGTTAAAACCAGAGATGAACAGAGTGTTTGTCTCCTGGACCTTGATCCTTACAAATATCACAAGCTGCATTGTGTGGTTTCTGTAAAGAGCATCCCTTGGCATTTCAGGAGGTGACACAAACATTTCCCTCGCTCTTTCTTTAGTTTCCGTGAGTTAATACCCAGTCTCGTCCTACTTTTAACAATTAACAGATCGGAATAGCAGAATGTAAGACTTGCATCACCAAGGCTTGGGAGCTTTCAAATATATTTTCACCACCGAGTCCTTTTCTAAATTTGTTGAGGTGCAGCTATTAGCAGAAAGCACCACGTCGCTGTGTGCCAGGTTTCCCTTTTGCACAGAGCTCCTGAATTTTGCCGGAGAAGCAGAACCTGCCTACGACAACAACTCGAGTGCCGTAAGGCATGAATTGGCAGCAGGCTGTGCCTACCCAAAGTGGAACGCTCAGTGTAGCATCTTATTGCTTATTGTTAAATCTGTAGAATAATCAACACTTTTAAGACAATCTGTTAAAAAAAAAAACAAGCAAAAATTTTGATCAGGTTCTGTTCAAGTCATTGCTGTGCTTGAATTTGTTTTCTGTTAGAAATTTGCAGAAAAATTGAGTGGTGCAAAGCTTTTTTAACAGCATGCAGAAAAAAAAGCTTACTTTTTTCAGGGGATTGTTGTGGGGCTTTTTAAGAAGAGAAACAGAAACTCAAAACTGGTTCCATAAAACTGCAGCCTTTTAAAACCTCCCCTTATTTTCATTGCTTTCCCAAAATTCATCTTTGTTTAGAACTTCTATTTTTTTGCGTTGTTCATGCTGTGTGATAACATGTTTAAAGCAGAGGACAGACAAAGTGTCTAATTTAGAACAAATTCTCATTCCTTACTACCATTTAAAATGTATTTTATACTTTTGTACAGTTAGATTGAAATACGCAGTCATGCACGCCATTAACAATACAGTGTACAGAGTAAGAGTCTGTGACTACCTGAGACTACAAATGTAGCCTCCGTTCTCACTTTCAAATAAAAGGCAATTACAGTAATAATTCTCCTCTTATTAGGTGTGTAGGTTTGCAATGTAAATTGCTTTTAGTGAACATTTTATTAAAATGGAATTCAATTCTAATAGGTAAAACACATTAGAGTCTGTATTTTAAATTTCCACATTCACAACTGGATAATTAAGTGCACTTAAGTTAATGGTGAAAGTGTAGGGGAAGAAAGGTTTGGTTACTCCACGGGCTCCAGTGGACTCGGAGAAATGTGAGAACATCTTACACGTTAAGAGGGGGCAGGCGTAGGAGGGCTGCCAGGCTTACAGTCTAAGGAGCTGGTCCCTAGAACTGTACATGGCAGCTCCTTGTTGTTGTTGCCAACAGGAATACAGCTGTAGGCGGTACGTGCTGTCATACAGGCGTGCAGTCACGGGAATGTGAAATTTCTTACTAATTACCTCAGATGTATAAGGGAGATTACTTCTCCATTAATGCCTGAAAATTCTGTCGTGAAGCGTTGTTGGCAGACACAACGCTACTGCACTCCTCATTCCCGCCATCGGCTCCTACTTCCTGTCTCGAGGTTACTACTCAGGCTGCCTCCCTTAGCTATTTATACCCGCAAAGGAGCAGTAGTAACCTTCAAGATAGGTTCTACAGAGAGCACCCATCAAGAAAAATACAAAAAAAAAATTCAGACTCTGTAATTTGCCTCTCTCCACAATCGGTAGTGCAGGGGTTAACACAGCTCACTTTCTCCGTTGAGGAAAAATTAGTTCTTATTCCAAATTAGCCATCAGCTCACCGTACAGTATTTATACATCACTCACTAGAAGTAACGTAAGAGAACACCTGCTGCCAAGGACCAAAAGCCTGTTGCAATACTACCTAAATGGTTAACAAAGTGCCAAGCTGGCAAAGGGTGAGCATTTGCTGCTGAAGCCCAGGACAATCGCTGCGTTTGAGACGTCTGTCTGTCCGCGCGCTGCTTCCGACAGAGCTGCTGGTTTCCTCGCCTTACCAACGCTCATCTAAGTGCACCCTCCACTAGGCTTAGTCATGTGCCTGCCAGTTGTACGTGACTGGAAGATACCTAGAAACATTATTTTTTCCTTGCCTAATGTCCATTTGAAGTAGTGTGGTCATCACAGACCCAGTTCTGTATAAAAACGTAGCTTACCCCAGGCTTTCCCATGGAGATTTTACAAACTACGGAAGGAAAATACTTGGAAGCCCCATCTGTGCCTTCGCCAGTTCCGTCGACGTTGCACTACGTGTTAAATCTCTCTTGGCACGCTGTCAGGAGCTTTGTGGGGTTCTGTCAAAGCGGTGTAAACAACAGGAATAGTTAAAACACAAAGGAGCGATCCCGTGACTTACGGACAATGTCCACTGTTACAAAAAAGTGTCTCGTTTTTCCTTAGAATAGAAGGGGGCCCGGTAAATACCTTTACTAAAGCTGCAATGTCTTAGCAAAACAAGCTTGCTTTTGTGTCATATTAAAAATGTTTGTCTGTTCCTGATCTCAACGTTTTAGCAAACTGCTAACCTCAGCAGCAAGCACCAAAATTGGAATGTTTACATGTGCTGGAGCTCATCGTGACTTTTACAGCACAAACTTGGAAACAGTGCTCTGAAAGAAAGAAAAGAGCAATTTGTTTAATTTTAATAACTGTTTAAAGACAGGCATTCCGCAGCTTCTCAGGAGATTTTACGGCAGTGGAAAGCTCAGTTCCGGAGCACCCGGCTGTGTCAGAGGCGCAGCTCTCCGGGAGGAAAGCGACCCAAGGGAGCAGCACGTGAACTCGTAACGTGCAGTGTTGAAATAGGCCACGCAGGATTTTAACTTACAGCTCCCATTGCTAGAAAGGTACTTCTGTATAAAACTCCACCGAGCTTCCAGGCATTAAAAGCATCACTTTCAGCCTCTAACGTCAGCAAGCAGAAGAATGATTTTACGGAGAAGCACCAGCCCCTCCATTTATTTGCTGTAACGCAGCCGAACTGCCTCTCTCCAGACAGCCAGCAAGGACCGTTCGTACACGTAGGCAGAGCCGTGAAAGAGCTGTGCACTGCCTGTGTTCCTGAGTTTTCCATAACGGTCCACAGTGAAATCCTGGCATTATTCAGGTCAGGAGTATACTGACCGCTTTGTTCCGCCGTTCTTAACACAGGCATCATTATTTTACGCTCTTTAGGAACGTTTTGCCTGATGACCGTTATACAAAAAGAAGGAAGGCGTGTAGCTCTTTTACTGAGAGATTGCATTCTTACTTTTTCCTTTTTCAGTATTTTAGAATGTAAGAATAGCGCGCGAGCGCTTAACGTGTGAGCAGAAAAAAAGCAGCCAGTAATTGTTCCAATGCTGTGTATTTTCTACAACCATAAGAGGAAAAAACTCGTAACTCCCAAGCCTGTTTCACAAACACGTGCACCTTCAGAGGACGCTGCAGCTCGCACAGGAAATTAAATGTCACCCATGTGTTGCAGGAGATGCTTCTTTCTGAACGACTCACTTTTTGACTGTTCAGCCCAGTACCCCCTGAAGCTTCAGAAGAGGGGGAGCAGAGCGCTCCGATGACTGTGTGCAGGGTAAGAGGACTATGGCGACCTGTGAAGAATGTACGGGCTTTCTCTTTGAAAGAGTGCACCACATAAATATTTATACCCGTCTTTGGCAATATGCTAATCCAAGGCAAGTAATTTTCCCTCTCTTAAAAAGAATCACGAAAAGCAATTAAGGTGATTTAATTACTGCCACGCATAGACAGCAAATTTTGAACTCCTGACAGAGGAACATCCATCACAGCGCCACGTTATCCTAACCCCATTGTACGGGGCTCTGAACAGGACAGACAATTAAACCGAGATCATTTCCCCTACCTTCCTGGAGTGCTTTGGGCTGGATCCAAATCCCAGGGAAGCCAATGGGAGCAGAAGCCAGGCTTTTCAAATCCCGACTGAAAGCCCCGGCTTTCAATAAAACAGAAGTAGTTTGCATGCAAGTTTGCAGTTCTTTGTGACACCGAAGTAAATTTAGCCTCACAGTCCTTTTCTGATTCATTTAAATCTGAATGTAAATGTAAGTGTAAGCTGCAAAAAAATTGCTTAAGGAAGATGTAACTTTGATGTCCTTCACAGCTACTCACTATAGAGGTTCAACTGTATTACACTTTTTGGTTTTATATGCACCTATAAAACCACGTGGCAGCTGTTTCTCCCCTACACCCTTAATTCATGGCGGGGGGAAAAACCCAGAAATCTGCATAAACCGAAAATCTTTGGAGCTGGAGTTTTTCCAAGAGTGCTGACAATCTTTATCATTTCTTATTTCTTAAGTTAGGGGAGGGAGGGTGTTTATGAGCACATCCTCCAAAAGTTATGCTCTGGATCTCTGTAGGATATTACAATAACAGCAATGCAACCAAGCAAGAAGAGTGCGTCACTTAACGTTTTACTCTGTTGGGCCTGTTGATTCCACAGCATTAGAACGACTTCATGTGAGTACGTTTCCTTGAGAACAAAGCTGCAATTGCACCAGGGGTCTCAGCC